AACTGGGCAGCATAGTAGGTGGCCATGACCGCCAGGCGGCTATAGGGCAGGGGCTGGATGAAGGTGTGGTAGGCCAGCACAGCATCTGAGATTGCAAAGAACAGGGCGCCCCAGTGGGCGCTCCCGCCCCTGGCTAGGCCGCGCCACAGCATGGTGGCCAGGGCCAGGATGTAGGCTGTTAAGGGCAGCGCCTTGTCAGGCGAGAGGTGTAGCAGCAGGAGGCCACCGAATGGGAGGGAGGCCAGGACGATGGGCAGCAGGAGGCCTGGCTGCAGGGGCGTAAGGCCGAAAGCCCAGACGTACAGGAGCTGGGCCTCGGTGAAGGCAGCCACACCTGGAGGACATGAGGTTGGGGCGCCTGGTGAGGCCTGCTTCTCCAAATCGCCTTGCCACCCAGCGCCTGAGGGATAGGACTGCCCCCGAGGGATAGGAGCTCCCACTGCGGCAATGCCACTTCTCTTGCCTCCCCCGACCCTTGGGCCACGTGGTATCCATCTTTACTCTGTTCAAGACTGTCCACTGAGTCCCCAGGCTGCTCTGCTTCCTACCTGGGGCTGTCTGAGCACACACGTTGGGCACACTCCCACCCGGGCTCTGTGCTTGCTGGTCTCTTTGCCTGGACTGCCCTTCCCATAACACCTCCAATACGTCCCCTTCTCAGCAAGGCTGTCCTCAGCTAGTCTACTAAAGACTACAACACCTGGACCCCATCTCTACTTCCCCCATGCCTGACACTCACATCTTCTAAGGTAAGCCCCTCAGTTGTCCAAGCTCTGTGAGGGCAGGGATCTGGGTGTGTGTCGGTCACTGCCATATCCCAGTGCCTTGGAAGGCCCCATGAAGGCTCATGGCAGATGCCATCGGGAAGTCGCCCCTACACCCCAGACCCCTCCAAGTGGAAGTCCAAAAAGGATGACACAGCCCTGCTCAAAGCGCTCACCGTAGAGGAAAGTCTCAGGCCAGATAAGAAAGCCATCTCCGAAGGCTGAAAACAACAGGGCCACCTGTAGGAGAGAGCTGTAGTGCCCACTAGCGCATGCCCGCAGAAACCCCGCCAGGCACAGCACAGGCAGGCACTTGACCAGGGCGCCAACCCAGGACGGTGGGTCCTCAGGAATCCAGAGGATGAAGTAGGCAGCACAGGTGAGGAAAAATGGGCTCAGGGACCTGCCCAGGTACAGCTGCTTCGGGAACAAGGGGGCCACTGAGCCACTGGAGCTCAGCCAGCCCCCAGCTCCTGGGATGAGCCCCCAGGAGAACCCAACTGACCTGGGGATCCCAGCCAGCCCCCAGCCCTTGGAGGCCAAGACCCAGGTCTCAGGGCTTCCATCTCACCCCCACCCAGGGACCCCAGGCTGCCTAGCCCCACAAAACACAGGCTCCCAGAAGGCCAAGCCTCCCCCAATTCCTCTGGGCTGCTCTGGTCTCTAGGAGCCCAGGCCCAGCCACCACCCCGCTTCCACAATCAGGGGCTCTCACTTGGGATAAGAAGTGAGGATTTGGGGGCATACCCCCTTTCCAGGCATCCATATCGGCCAGTGACCCCCCAAGAGTGACCTGTATGTGGGCACCAATGGCTTTGAGGGGTGGAAGAGACATGCATGGTTATACGTTAACCTAAGGAGTGTCCTGTGGACTCTCGGACTGATAATGGCCCAGGGAGATGCTGGCCCCACCCATGGAGGTCCCTGCCTGGCACCTGCTGATAAAGTGGCATCAGGACACAGGATGTCCCTCCTGCCCCATAGCCCCAGCCCCCAGGAACCTGGTTTCTTCCCTCTCTGCCTGGGAGGCTGTGGGAGCAGATGCCCAGACAATCAACACCTCTCCACCACGTTGCGGGGACCATCCTGCCAGAGTAAGAAACAAGCAGACGGAAACTCCGCTGCCCCTCACAGTGGCCCAGGGGTCCTTCCTGCACTTGGGCCTCCGAGTTCCCCTGGGGAGCCTGCACCACCCTGGTGGCCTCCACCAGAAACATGTCCTGATGGAACAAATACCCAGAATGGGTGGCCCAAGGCATTGATCATCAGCCTACGGTCCAGAACTCTGGCCGGCACCAGACAAGCTTCCTGTATAGGTCTTGCATGTGTGCCCATCTTCTCTCCAGCTTCCTCTCTGAGAGGTGTGAGCCCACAGGGTGTCCTCTGGTGGAGCAGGCTCAGGGGATGTGGCTTCTGTAAGGTCCCCTCCACGGCTGGGTGGATGAAGGGTGAACAGTGGACATTAAGGGGACCCCAGCAGACAGCTCTTGAGACCAGGTCCCACAGTAGACTGAGCAACACCCGGTTCCTCCTCCTCGGACCCCTTCCTGGTAAAGCAGAAGTTACCCCACCCCCAGCAGAACACAGAGGTTTAAGAGCCTGATGCCACTCTGAGCGGCACACCCGAGGTGGAGGGAAGAACAGGGACAGCACAGGACCCCGACCCTGAGTCCCAGAACTCAAGGTCTGAGCGGCAGAAGTCTTAAACTGTCTTCCTTTATTTATATCTGCGATATGAAATAGAAGCTCAGCACAAACACACACGCACTCACGCCAGCCTGGGGAGAGGGAGCTGGGACAAGGTCACTTGGCAGCTGGGCTGGACCCCAGACCCTCAGGTGTGGGAGGGGACCCCAGCCAGACCCCTGCCAAACCCCCACCCTGGGGTCCATGGGAGGCACAGGGGTCTCATGAGTGTCAGGGCCCCATGGGAATGTCACCAGGAAGGCCCCCTTGGACCATGAGCCCCCAGCCCCTAGAGAGCCACCAGGCCAGGCAGAAGGCCCTTCAGCTCCCAGCCTGGGGCAAGGGGCTGGGCAAAGGCACAGCCCCCACTCGGCCCCTCTAGGTGGGCCTGAGCTAAAAGGCCAAGTGTGGGTGTGGACGTCTGCACCGAAGTGGGGGATGGTGGGAGGGGAGGGTGGACGGTGCCTTGAGAATCCCAACACAGCCCCCGCTGGGAGGGGATAAAGGTCCAACCCACCCTGCCACCCCTCCTGAGACCTGGTTTTCTTCCGCTCTCTTCCCACCCACTCTCCTCCCTCAATATATATATAATATATAATATATGTTTCTCTCTCTCTTCTCTCTACTCAACTCTCTATATTTTTATTCTAGGAGACAAAACTCCATCATTTCTTTCCTCAGTGCAAATGGCGGGGGCTGTCTCCCTGGCAGCAGCCTCCTGGGACTCCAGAGGAGAGAGCGTGGGCGGTGGGATGGGGATGGAGTGATGGGGCAACGGGCCACCGTGGGACCCACCCTGCTCCCACCCGGGCAGGGTCCATGCGCAGGTTGAGGATTTGGCTGCCACCACCGGGACCAGGCAGTTACCTGGGAACCGAGAGGAAAATCTGGGTGAGGAGCCAGCCTACCCACTCGCCACCCCTAGCCCCTGCCCCCCAGCCTCTGCCACTCACTGGGAGCCTGGGGATGCGGGCCCTCCCAGGGCAGAGCCATTGGGCACTGGAAGCGGCTCCGGGGCCTGGGCACTGTCCAGAGGAAGGGATGGGATGGGTCAGTGTCTCAGCCCACACCACCACCACCCACCAGCATGAGGCCACGCTGTGCTCACCTCTGGCTTTGGGATAGCCCTGCAAGCTCTGAGCTCTTCTCCTCCTCCATGGTCTGGGGGGGCCGGTGGGCCACAGGGGCTGGGACAGAGGTAGCAGGGTCTCTGGTTGCACTGGCGGTGGTAGAGTCAGGAGGGTTACCATCAGTACCGCCCTGCTGGACGCTGTTGCCTCCAGGGGCTAATGTGACCACAGAAGGAGCACATAGCCCAGGGCCTCCTGGCCAAAGACCTCTGGAAGCTGTCACCAGCAGGAGCTCAAGGTCAGCTGGGACATGGGCCCTGCACACTCCTGGCCCTTCTGAAAGCCTCCTTTTCACCTCTGGGGCTAGGTAGGGGTCCCTAGGGTCCAGGACTCTGTAGGGCACCCATGTATGGACAACACATGCACAGCCCTGGGGGGGTCTCGCAAGGGCCCCTCGCAGCAGCTCTGGGGCAGGAACGACCCAAGGGCCAGGCTCTATTCATCTCCCCCACACAGCCGCCCAGAAGTTGCTCCCCAGTTGGTCACCTGTCCAAAGAGTTGGGGGCACAGCTTGTCCCTCTGAGGGTGGCCTGGAAGTCCCCGACACTGACCAAAACCTGACAGGGGGCTGTGCGAAGGAGAGAAGCCCAGACACATGAAACAGCATGTTGCTCCAAACTGGAAGGCCAGGGGACAGCAGAAGCAGGGCCGCGGGGCACAGTGGGCAGGTAGATGGGCAGTGTTAGGCAGGCAGTGGGCAGTGGCTCACCCAAAGGCTCCGCTACTTTGCCGCCATCTGTGGCTTCCTGAGGTGCTGAAGGGGGTGTGGGGTCCTGAGACCTGGGAGGCAAGATAAGTAGCCCAAGGGGGCGGCCGGGGTTGACCCTGGAGCCTAAGGGAACCAGGACCTGGCACCACTGCCTGGCCACACCTCCCAGCCTCACCTGAGCTGCATGGCGTCAGGGGCCACAGGGCTGGCCAGGCTTGGGGTGGGGAGGTCCTGGCACAAGCCAAGGGGTCCCTGTGGGGCAGGATGCTCAGGGCACAGCTCCTTCTCCCTGGAGTCTTGGAGGCTGGTCGGGAAGTCAGTAGGCACTGGGTCAAAGGTGGCTGTCCAGTTGGGGCCTGGGGTAGGGGCAGCAGTGAGCATGGCAGGCAGACCCCTGCCCACCCAACCACGCCCACCAGCATGCTCACCCACCCAGAGACTGAGGGCTGATGCCAGAGTGAGAGGGGGGCCCGGCCCCTCCGCAGACTGCCCGGCCTTCCTCTTCGACGTCCTCCTCGTCCTCCTCGTCCTCTTCGCTATCTGTGCTGCCTCCACTCCTGCCCCAGAAGCCAGCCGTCAGCCACCATGCTGAGGCAGGGACTGAGTGGGGAGGCCCCCTGGTCCCACCTCCAGACCCCTTAGCGCTGGCCCCAGAGTACCAGCTGTGAAGGAATCAACAGTCAAAAAGGGATGGTGGGGTGGGGCCACAGACAGCCCCGGGAGGACAGGTCAGGGCCTCCCTAGGCCTGGGATGTGCCAAGACACCAGGAGCGAGTCCTGCGTTCCACAAGGGGCAGGCAGGTGGGGACAAGAGCGCCAGCACTGGTATCAAGGGCAGAAAGATTCTTGTCTCCCTCACAGACCC